AGAACAAGTTGAGCCTCATGAGTTAATGACATGCAGCAGCAACACAGCGCTGATCTCACATACATCAACTTGACAAACCGCGCTTCATCAGAGTAAGACGTTCATTAGATTGGATGGTTATTACTGCGGGCCCGATCACCGCGGGCAGCATTTAAAGCTCAGTTAACCCCGCCAACTTGTAGAGCTGCATGTCTCTATTTGCTAACAGAAAGTCCACCCAAACCCAGGGCCCCTTCCTCGACTATGCAGTCAAACTGACCATTTAATGGTTTTTTTGGGGGGGTTGTTTTTTTCAACCTTCAGGCTAAAGTTTCCTGTAAATGCTTTGATCTCCCTTCTGACTCCCCACTATATCTGATGGACAGGATCATGGAGCCCCTCCAGGTATGCTTTGCCGTTCTGACACATACCCCTGACAAGGTGAGAAAATCTGCAAAGAAAAAGACAAGGAGTGACTGCTTCTCCTCTGCACAATCTGCTTCCACATGTGCTCTGACTGACAGCTAAGCACCAGGACAAGTGTTTCACATGCAATGCAAAAAAAGTAAGTCAAGAAAACTGGGGAGGGGGGGGGGGATGCAGTAGCCCTGCTTTCAGTACGGGGAGGTGAGGACGCTTTGGGGTGTCTATAGAGCACCACATGCAGGGCTTCTGCCATTCGTCCTCAGAGAATGTGGCTCAAATCACAGCTGCAGCTGAAGGAAATGGGGTCTGAGGCGCAGAGTTGTCATCGTTTAGGCTACAAAACCCCCACACCCCCAACCGTACATCAGGGGTTCCAGACGGTGTCACTCTGCAAGAAGGTTTATTTCTCCTGAGGATGATATTGCAGATTTCAGTGCAGGGAAATAAATCAGAGTTCTTAGCACGTATTAATTTGACAAGCTGAGAACCATTCTGCCATGGAAAGGGGAAAAGTGAGGTGAAAGACAAGAGTGTGTATCTATGTTTGTGTCTGCGGTGCCTGTGGCCACTGCTAATGTACTCTCTGTTTGATTTGCTTGTGGACACAACTTTCAGCAGTGTGTTCTGTAAAGCCTCTTGCGTGTACGCAAACAAAGAACTTGTGGCACCACCGGGTGGGCAAGCAGGGGGATGGGGTGGTCAATGATCACCCCGACATTCTTATATGTCGTGTATGATATATGAAATTTCCTCTTAAACAGAAGGACTTAAAGTCAAAGTTATCATTTATCTATGCATAGGATTTTTTTTTATTTGATCGCAGGATGCTCAGCAAGCACAGATGGATTTTTTTTCAAAATATGAATATTATTTTTTTAAATACATTTTGCATCATCACCATAAAAATACACAAATAGAGATAGATATTAATATTGATAAACAAAAAATGCAATTTCTACATCACAAAGTTATGCAAGTTTGTTAAAAAACCCAAAACTTGTTCCTTATTAAATCTATGTCCATATAGTGTACAGCATAGACACTGAAAACATGGCTGGGGATCATTTTGCATAAACAACATATAGGGGATCAACTGCCTAGGTTGCCTTAATAGCAAACTTCAGCTCATCTGCAATGTTGGCTCAGGTCTCTCTCATCCTCCACTTGACAAATGCCCAGTAATTCTCTCTGGGCTCAGTTGGGCCGGTGTGCTGGGCAGTTAGGCACATTGATAGCTTGGTTATTAAAGCTTGTCAGTGGAGGGAAGAACAGGTGCTCATGAGGTGTCATCATTTCTGACTTTGCAAACTTTAAACTTGATAAAAACAGTGGAACAACAAAATACGAATTGGTTTCCCAAATAATTACTGTGAAAAACTTCCCAATGGGCCTCTAAAAACCAGGATTCTGTGCTTAGAGACTTTGTCTGTATTCTTCACTCTTAATTTGAGCATAGAAAGTTTCATCTTAAATTTGACATGTGATATTTGACCCCTCAGAAACAGTCCAGTCCTTTTTATCTCCATATAGGTGAGTTAGGTCCTTCTAATGTTTTCTTTGCTTCAAGAATGGCCAAAAACAATTAGTAACTCCAGCTGCAGTCCAAGTCTTGTGAATCCACCACAGATCCTTAAATGGACCCCGACAACCTTTAAGGTGACAGTTAAACAAAAGTGTGCTCCGTCCTTTTTCCTTTATAAGTCATTATATAAGAATAGCACAAATTGGGCTTGAAAATATTCTTTTTTTACCGACTTGTATGATGATTATGTATGCATGTACATACATATATATATGACTATTAAGAAATAGTCAACTATCAGAAAACACATTTTCCCAGATTTGGAATTATTTTCTTATAATTAGAGGTCATAATTTCACTACATATTACAATCAGTAATGATTAAATATAATTATAATATGTATTTCAAATAAAAGTAACATCTCCATACTCTATTTGCACCGACCTTAGCAGGAGAATAAAGGATCTGGTTAGGTTTTCCAGGGCTGCTCTGCTTTAAAATTCACTAGTGCTGTGGCTAAATTTATTGATCAGTATATAATTAATAATATTTCTAATTAAACGAATGCTTATAATTTTGGAAAAAAGAAAAAACATTTATTGTGAATTTGAATTGAATGCATCTACAATATAAGTCTGTGGCTTAATTTCCCTGAATGCACTTTGGATTGGAAGTTTCTGCAGATGTGATGTCAAAAGCATACATGTTAAATGGGTTTGTCCCAGCAAACAATAGAAGCATCATATTCAAGGCAGATATTGTGGATACAGCTTGACTTAAACACCAATGGCAACTCCATGTAAGGTGAAAAAAAAGTAAAAAACAAAGAAAACCTTCTGAGTACGAGCGTGCACTATGAGAACAGAAGAGTGCTGCAGTTCTGTGTTTTGACCACAGGTAGCAGTACCATTCAATGCCTCTTTAATAATCTAACAATTATGAATAAATCCTTTAAGCTCTAAAATTTTCTTTGCTAATGTACCGGGACATATCATTTCCTGACTAATGTAATGTGATATATTTTGTATTGCCAAATAATTGCCAATTCAACCCCCAAAATAATACATTGCATAAATAATTCCTCAGATAAGCTAAATCACTGTTTGGGTTATTTTATATTTTATACTAGGATATATATTTTTTTATCTAATAAAAGAAAATCTTGCTCATCTACGGTAGATGTAGTTGTAGTTCCCAAAAATAATACTCAACATTTTTTTGTGCTCAGAGAAGTAGCCAGAAAAGTTTATTAGGGTGGCCAGTCAATAACCAATGTACACTGACGGTGGCACTAGAACCTCACGGTCAATCTACACTCTTCCAACTGGAAAATTAACGAGCAAAACATCCATATTTTCTAAATAATGTATAACTACACTTTCCTACAGCCTTTGCTTACAAATAGAGGCATATATTTAAACATCCGTGCTTTCTAGATAAAAGGTAAAGTAGATAAAATCCTTTCAGGTGTGAGTTCTGGGGCGAACATATGTTCCATTGTCTTTACTAACCTACTTTTATCAACAATCATTCTGGATAAAATTGATATTTACTTAAGTACTTATATCTATGTAAACTGATTATTTAATAAGTTTTGATGAAAATTGTTATTTATCTATGATTTCACTGAAGACTCCTGGATGCCTTGCAGAGACACATAATTTTCTCTTTACCCCATAAACCACAATCTAGTTCTGAAAAGAGCATGAATTCTGGACTATTTTGATGTGCAGAATTAACCACAGTGTTTTTGTTGTCGAGTAATTGTTAATATGTGAACATTTTAAATGTTTTGAATATTCCACTTGAGAGTATTACTGCTGCCACCGTCTGTATTAAGGCTGATTTATACTTCGAAACTTGGTCGTCTGCATGTGTGTCGCGGTGAACGCAGAGATGTCCCCGCCCCCTTCCACAGTAACTCTGCTGCACCTCTCCCAAATTGTAGTTGATTGCAGACAGTGCCGCAAACAGGAGGCCTCTGATTGGTCAAATCTACATCCGCTCTACTCTATGCGTTTCCTGTTTGGTACCTTACCAGCTTGTTTTGTTTGTATGACTGCGATTGTGAAAAACACCTCGTGAAGATGGACCAGCTTGAAGAGCGAGGGTGCGCGAGAACGCTGGGACCCTTTATCACCTGGATCCCCGCTCTTTGTCGCCCTCATGTCCCGCCATTGTTGGACAAACTCGCCCCCACTTCCACACCGCCCGGGCCGTTTCTAGACCCACGGCTAGTTCGTGATTTTCCCCTTTGGCATTGTGGCGTGGAATAAACATAGCGCACAACACACTTCAATATTGAGCGTAAATCAAAAATGTCTGCATCATACCTGCGACAAGCTCAGTGCGACACACCTGCAGGAATATAACAAGCCCTTTAGAGGGAAAAAAACGCTAGGGGTGGCCAATTATTGGCTAAGGGGGGCCATGGCCACCCCTGGCCCCCCATCTTGCTCACCACGAGGGCCCTCATTACAAAACTTTCCATAGCCGCCCCTGGAACACACATACACACCATCCCCTCCCCTCTCTTTCTCTCTCTCTCTCTCTCTCTCTCTCTCTCTCTCTACTGCGCACAGCTCTGCCCAAGCAGGGAAAATCACCTGCAGAGGCAGGTGCATAACACGCGCTCTGCCATATGCACGCGCTCGCAAACACACATTGACAGTTTGCCTCTCACTTATCTACACAGACATGGAGAAATTAAGAAAAAGAAGAGGGGCTATTCCCTTAATTGATGTTTAAGAAACCGTGTCCTGAATGCAACTTAGAAGAAAATGTGACCACCAGAATAACCAGCCGCTATGATCCCCTACAAATATCATTTGCTGAATTTCCAATGTTGTCTTCCTGTGCAGAAAGTCTGCTGTTTTCCTTTCAAACACCTTTACAGCTGACTGATCCTGCAGGGGAAAAATAAGCAATCGCACCAAATAACTTTGAGCATACAGATGAGGACGCGCAGGGAATCAGTACTAATGAGCTTGAAAATGAGACTGAAAACAGGCGCTGCGGCGAGCATCCCGCATTCATCCCGCACAAGTTCACGCGTTTTATGTTCCAACTTACCGATGAGAGCCAGATGAAGAAAGTACAGTCCGAGGAAGTCCATAATGGAGTAATTCAGATGGATGCAATCCCGGGCAAGGAGAGATGATGTGCGGGTGTGTTGAGAAACTGCTGTAATTGGCACCGAAATTAAAGAGCGAAAGAATCGCAGCTATTTCTCTAGTGATGACTGGCCGCTGACGCTGAAATCCACAGCAGTGCGTGAAAAAACAGCAGCGGAGCAAAGCAGCATTTTTTTAAAAGGAGGCAAACTTTTTCTCTCTTTTTTTTTCTTGAAAGGACGATCACAGCTCCGGGATGGAAAACAAATATACAGAGGCTTGGAGTTTCAAGAAAAATAATAATATATTAATTTCTTGTTTTATTTTGTTTTAGATCTCGCTCCTCATGAAGATCTCAGACTGCTACATCTGATCCGTCCCGAACTGCTGTTTTCTCTCCTCTTCGTCTCCACCTGCGCGCAGCCTGGAAACTGCGGATGAATCACTGGCGCGTCGTTTTTTTCCCCCCTTTTTTTCCTCGTTTTTGCGCTCTTCGTGTGATGCTTTGCTCCAAGGCGACCGGCTGCTTGAGATGCCCAGCCCAGCGTGGTTTAAAAAAGAAAAAAATAAAAGACAAAAAAAGAGGAGAAAAAAAATCCAATACCGGCCAAAGTTGAAATAGGGCAAGTGAAATCGATAGCCTATTTCATAGGGCTATAAAATGGAAATAACAACTGGAAAATGGTGCATAGCCTGAACGACCAGGGTGTGGATACAGTTCATCTACTATTCCTCATAAAAGTGTGATATTTGTTAACCTCACAAGAATGTTTTAATGTGTTTAGGGAAAATTTTAAAATGTCTAATATGCATATAATAAAGCTTACTTCTGTTACAAAACTTTACATCAGGCATCAAAGCTGGACGATATATATATATATATATTTTATTTTTTTATTTTTTAAAGATTGCATAACACATTTTAGCCGTCCCCCTATATATCAGCATGACATCTTAAATGAACAAATTTCAATAAAAAAAATAAATACATTTTTTCTTCAATTAGTGAAGGTGATAGTATAGCATTTTTTTGAAAGGGACTGTAAGTGTTTTTTGCCCCTTCCCCTTGCAGGGTCACACAGACTCCTCCACTCCACCAATTAAACATTTGTGATAAAAGAAAAAAAAAAACATTTTGTTCTTATATTGTAGCTACTGGAACTTACAGAGGTCTAATTTTGTTGAATGTTAGTGTCACCAGTCACTGCTGCATACAAAGTCATAATTATACAGTATTGTAAGCCCAAATTCACCCAAACGTCTCTGCTGACGTTTGCAAAGATGTACTTTGATTAATTGCACAGAAATACCACAACTTTTGTAACTATCACCTGTGGGTATTTCACTCCTCTTTTTGAAAGAACTGGTTGAGTTCATTAATTTTGGTTCCTGTCAATGGTCTATGGCCTAATTTAGGACTAGAACATTAGTTGAAAGGTACATCTTACTGTATTTGACATTTCTTAAGGCCAGTTTATACTTCTGACGCATAGCCTCTGCAACCTTCAAATCGGTCTGACCAGGCCAATTGTCAAACATCTAGAATCATTGATCTTTTGTACTGCATGAAAAGGCTCTGGGTTCAATGCAACTTGTAAAATAACAGTTATTTAAAAAAATTGTGAGGTTATACATGCACTATTCTACCTAAAGTAATCCTTTGCCAAGCCAAACAATAACATCCTGGCATTCCTATCACTTCATTTCAATTCAATTAGATTCAATTCAGTTTACTTAAATAGTGTCATTTTAATTTACAGAGGAAATTCAATTAAATCATTTAATAAGATTGGTTAAGAGTTTACTATCTAAGGCAGGGGTGTCAAAGTGGTTCCAGAAAGGGGCAGTTTCTTTCCAACCCAGCAATAGCACAACAGACTCCAGTCATCTCATCTCAAGTGAGTCCAATCTGAACATGATGACTTGATGAGATGACTGGAGTCTGGTGTGCTATTACTTGGTTGGACATATAAACTTGCAGCCACACAGCCCTTTCTGGAACCACTTTAACATCCCTGAACATCCTAGGCTCAATGTGAGTGGCCGACTGGGGGTTCAAGGAGACAGAAACAGACATATGGACATGTTAAAAAATGCAGTAGTGAACTAGCTCCATAGGTTGTTCTGTCTAGAAAAGAAACAGTCTAGCAGTTGAAAAAAAGAGAGCATGTGTTTTTATGGACTAACAAAAGCTACAAAATTGAAATAGAAATAGAACCAAATAGAAAGATGAAAGGTGGTCCCTGTATCCTCCAGCAGTCTAAGTCTATAGTAGCACAACTATAGAGATAGCTCAGGATATCCTTAGCCACTCTGACTATATGCTTTATTAAAAAGGAAAGTTTTAAGCCTGGTCTCAACTCTAGACATGGACACATACTGTACTGTAGCTGTAAAATCCAGTATCTAGACATTGAAAGTGCTTCTGCAAACATTTTTGAAAGAATAGGCCAATTTCAGATGCTTTAAGTATTCCAGCATTGTATCGTGATATAACAAGCACAGTAAATAAAGGGGTGAAATGTTATTACTTTTACATTTCCTCACTGGAAACAGGTAGGCCACAAGCAAGGTCAGCAGATGCTGAGACACAATTGACAGGGGTCACTGACTTTCTGCAGTAGTGATAGCTGTAGATTATTATGTGACTTTAGGATTAGCTCAAGAACTGTGGCTAGGAATCCTTATGAAGTGATTTTCCTTTGCTGTGCAACTGCATTTGATCCTTACATTGTCAAGTCCAATCTTACAATTGGATACAGTGGTTAAAGCTGCCTGGCTGGACTCTGAAGGAAAGAAAACGTGTCCTCTTGAGCTATGAGCATTGAGTGCTAGGAAACTGGAAACTATGATGCAGAGGGACCTATGGTGTGGGGATTCTGTTTGAGAATAGAGCTTGGTCACTGTATTTTTTAATAAAAACAGCATTGACAATGCATACCGAGACATTTTGAACATTTAATTCTGTGAGCCTGGGTTTCTTGCCCGGTATTAGTGTTAAACTTGATTAACGACTTCTTAACCTTGTGAAAAGTTTTGTATGTTATAGATGCAATATATGGGCCAATATATAATATTAAACCTGATGAATTAAGAATGAGATGTCTGAAGGCAGAAAAGCAAATATTAAAGGCAGCAAGTGTATAAGTTTGAACATGCAGGGATTTGAGGAATTTTTTAAATACATATTGTATGTGCACATAGTTATTGTTCAAAAACAAATAAAGTCATGTCCTGAATGAATTATATTTATGTGACAATGTCTATGAAGGATCCTCAAGCTTTCCTTTCAAAACAAATCCAAGAGCAATCTATTTTCATCTGGGTTTTTGGGACAGCAGCAGTGACTGACGCATTAGGCAATCTTTACTGTGATTATTTTGAGAAGTAACCCAATTTTCCTCATCTTCGGTTCTATGTGCCCAGAACATCTTGGTTAGCAGAAGCTGCAAATCATGTCAAGATGCATTAATTCAAAATCGTATGTAATGACAGCTGTTTTGCATGTTTCCTTCTAATATTACTTTTATGTTTCAGTCAGAGTCAGACTTCTTTCAAGCTGTTAAACTCTCACAGCTGACAAATTAAATTTTGAGCAGTTACCCTGTTGGGAGTTGTTTCCCTCCTCGATCTTATTCTTGGAAGTTTTACAGCTTCTCTGGGACTCTTTCATCTAAATGCTTGTTTGTGCAGTGGGTAAAAAGAAAAAAAAATAGGCTGCTGCTAATGAAAGCATAAGAAATTTGAGTTTTATTTCTAAAAGAAAATAAAGCTGTAGACCTTCAGACACAACAAACCATCCAGTCTTTTTAAAAGGAATGTGGCTACACTGCAATTCTGAGGATTTTGTTACTGAGGCAGTGGGAGGGCAGAGAGAAGAGAGACTGCAGGGGGTGAGACGTATCTGGGTGGATTTGTTCTCCAGTTCTGATTTGCAAGACCTCTCAAAGGCTGCTGCAGATTTTCGTTTTTCCACTAACAATCCAAATATATCTATATATGTTGGTAATGCTTTCTCCTCAGCATAATGTTTGAAATTAGTTTGAGGTTATAAACACTATATGAAAATGCTCTTTTAGATACTCAAACATACAAGTATAGACCAAAACACTGTAGATCCTAATTGAAACATTACTTGGAAGGATTATGTTCTTTTATGGCGTTTTTATTAATGTACTCTTTAAAAAATATGTTTTAACCAGCTGCCTTCACCCAATAAACAAATCTGTACTTTTCATTAATAAGTAGATATTTTATAGACAATTAACAGCAACAGGAAAATACCAGTGAACACACCAAACAGAGCAAAATTAAGTTGTGGAAAAGCAGTTTGGTTATGCTCAACATCAATCTTAACACATAAATCTTGTTTTAAATCTAAATGTTGGCAGTATCATGCTAAGGGATTATTTTAGTAGCGGTTGGGATGCTTGTCAGAGGGGAAGGCAACGAATATCTTTGTATCAAGCTCACTGCTTCAATTCTTGTGCTTCACATTAAGGGATGCACCGAAGACATGGGACATGTTTTCAGCATTACTCAATAGATCACATTTGTTTGTTTCAACAGATATCTCATGAAACCTTAGAGCAGTGATGCACTGTCGCAGGGTCGGAATTTATACTAGCCAAACTCAATAAGTTTAAAAAACATCTATGGTAATGTTAGCCTTCCTATGTTTAGTCTGTCGGTTCCATTAAGACCTGACTTATCAACACGGCATGCCTTGCACAGGCGGAAAAAAGAAAAAAAAAAGAGACTGTGCTGCATGAATTTGTGCTGGCCTGCGTAGATTCTTTTCTCTATCAATATTATTCATCTGTCGTTATTTGTGACCATGTAAACATGTTTACATTTGTGTAAAATCTCTGAATCTTCTGGCGTTGTATTAATGCTTCCTATATGGCCACAATGACTACAGAATTTGTTTCATGTCAGTTTGCACCTCATTTTCAAAAGTGTCAGAAAAGCTTCAAAAACTGCACCCACAGTTAAGAGTTGAAAAACAGCTTGACACATAGTAAGTGTTTACATTTGCTTATCTTCCACCCATTAAAGTGTTTGGTATGATCATTAAAATATGATTTGTATATTGATGAAGGCACATAAGCAGAAATAATGTTTTTAAACTCTTCCTGGTGAGTTTGCTCTTTCTTATCAATTGAAGATCTCCTCTGTTCAAGCAATATTCCAAACTTTTTACCACAAGCAAACAGGGCTTCTTGATTGACATAACAATTCCGAAAAATTGATTCATATAACCAAAGATTGATTTTTAAAAATGTCTTTCTGACTGTCCTTAGAGCCTTTCTTAACTACTACTGCCTTATTAATTTGCTGTTAAATGGTAAGATAACACTTTCATAACATGTTGCATGACTGCACAATATTTTAGATTAAGTAACAGATAAAAAATGTGTTTGATACCAGTAATCCAG